ATGATGAAGGACTGGTAAGCGAAGTTTCCCGCAATGATATGAGTAGAGCTGACGTTTTTAATGAATTTCGCATAGCCTTGCTTTCCCAAAAGTTGTTCTCATCCAAGGGTGGACTGCTGTCTCGACCTCGCATGGGTCTTGTCGATACCCCCAGTGGGAATCGAGCCGTGACATTGCAGTATGTGAGATTGACACGTTAACTACTTGGCCACACTGCTACGAGTGTCCTTGGGTCATCACACGGCAGATGCGAATTTCAAGGAAAGCCATGCCTTTTTGCATATTACATTCTTTGGTGGGGTTGCCGATGAAGCAAGCGTATTTTTGCTATATCAACCGACTAAATTCTACTACCAGACTATCATCACCTTAAACAAAAAAGGGTGTATACATCTCATATAACTGATTTACTGGTAGTCTCGAAACCCTAATTATACGAAAAATAGCTAATGTAGTCTATTTTTATAGCAAAAAATACGTTTGCTTCAGCGACAATTTCACCAAAGAATGTGATAAGGGAAAAGGCATGGCCTTCCTTGAAATTCACATCTGCCCTGTGACCCAAGGGCACTCGTAGCAGTGGCCGAGTGGTTAACGTGTCAAGCTCACATGCTGCAATGTCACGGTTCGACTCCAGTTTGGGGTGCTGATAAGACCTATGCGAAGTCGAGATTGCAGTTCACCCTGAAAAAGAACAACTTTTGGGGAAGCAAGGCCATGTTAAACTCAATGGAAACGTCAGCTATATTCATATGTGGGAAAATTCTACTATCAGTCCTTCATCAGCTTAAACGAAATAGGTTGAATACATCTCATATTACTGATTTACTGGTAGTCTTAAAACTCTAATTATACGAAATCTAAGTCTTAACCTTAAAAAGTACTTTTTCATCTTTTGGGGAAGGCTAATATGGTATCCATTTATCCACACATTTAATCGCTCCAATTTTCTGTATTAAAACAAATAAAAAGTAGATAAAGAAGGGGAACATGTGGGGAATATAAAAAGCGGGAGTACCATTGATATAAGCATAGCAGACAGGTGAATAAAAGCATGAAATTGACTATCTAACCCTTTGAAGATCTGTTAGTTCAAATTTGTCATCAGAAGCCTGAGGAATTGGCCGCATAACGGTGTGGTTGATTCTAGTTGGCCTAGGGAGATTGCGCTGCAAGGTCTGGCTCCTGCAAGTCCATGCCTCGAGATCTTTAGCTCTGACGCGTTCGCTAGACAACATGTCGAGCTCGGCCTGATCAGCAACGCATCTTGAAGTTCCAGTAGCCAACAGAACCTCTGCATTTTCTTCCTCTTCACCCTGCCCTACTTGGTCACCCTCAGCCGTCGACTCCTCATCATCTGGCATGAATATTTCGAAGTTATTTTTTGGTGTCGGAAGGTTTGCCAAATGATTCCGCAATTGGTGGTTGACGACAATACCACCACCACGGCCACCAGCTACGTGTTGGTGATTACTTCTGGGACCATTTAGGCGCCGGGAAAGTTCACTGGAGATTTCAGAGCTATCAAGGTAATCATCATCAGCATCAACATCTAAGTCAGTGGATAAGGCATTATCAGTGGCGTTAATATTGAGCACGTCACGGCGTAATGGAGTGGGCGTCCCAGTGGTGAAGACGCCTCCAGAAGGAGTCGAAGAGTGGGAACCGGGTGTAGCTGTAGGAATAAGGTCGAAGAGTACAAGTGCCAATAAAGCATAGAATTTCCTAACACAACTAGAGACAAATAAATGTTCATAAATTCTTTAAAGTAAAAGAAAGTTAAATCGGAGCATGTCAATCAAGACTGGAAGATGATTGGTCATTAGAAAACAAAGACGAATCGGTCCCAAATCTTGGTTAAAACTTAGACAAAAAAATATAATCCCAAAAGAGTTGGCTACTTGTAGTCGGCATCCTTCCAATGTGCCTAGACTAACAGGCTGCCCGACCTATGGAAGTGGCATCAAGGAATATTGTTGCATTATAGAAGAGTATTCAAAATATGAGAATTAAGTCAACTATTAATTCAGCATAATTTCAAAAAAGTGGTTTTTGAGAGATAAACCACAAATCGTAGATGACAAGCTAATACAGAAACCAGTCGATTCTGCGAAAAAAAGTCATCCTTATTTGGGTAGACACATAAAATGCATGGAACAAAAATAGGAGACTTTGAGTCAATAAAGCCGTGAAACTTTGCTAAATTGAAATGGGACGTTAATGGAGCACGCTCATTGAATGAAACGAAGAGCAGTTCGAAGATTCTAATGTAAATGTCATCAAAAATATAATTCAGATATGAAACTGGTATGATGTTGGAATACCTTTCATTTAGTTTGAAGAGGCGAGTGAAAGGGATTCTTAAGTTGATTCTACCGAAAGCTGTGGGAGTAGTGCCTTTGAGCTGCGATTGTAAATTTGTTCGAGTAGGTGCTAGACGCACCGCCCTGAGACCCCGATGAATCCCTGCTGAGCTTTCGCCCGTCATGTGACGGAAATCGTCAGAGCAGGACCCCATGCTTAAAAATAATACACCGAAACACGAAGGCAAGAAAAGTGGCCGGCTTCAAGCCTACCTACTTTTTATAGTCCAATTTAGCCCAATTAGACATCTCATGTTTGGTTGGATGTCCTATGCTTTGTCAATATGTTTGCTTAAAAGTTAAGTGGCTGAGGATAAAATGTGAAGTAGCTGCAAATGAAATGTGAAGCGGTGTAATTGTGACCGAACAGCTGCATTCTCCCCTAAAATACCTATGCTCTTAATCCTTCAATGTTACCGCATGTGCTTGCGTTCCATTGCAGGCGTGATGTGTAAATGCATGGCTCATGAAATGAGTGAGTGAAAGTTAAAATCAGATTCCAACCAAATCAAGTCTCCTCTTGTTCGGCGGTACTTCTCGCTCCTTCTCCCCCCCCTCTAATCCTATCCAACAACCATAAATAGCTTCCACTAAATTTCTTAGACTCTTTCATTCTTTTCAAGGTGTTGGCTGTCTTGTTGATTTATATCGCCTCCCTAGTCTTTCGCTTACTGGTATGGCCCCCATATCCAGCTAAACATTTGGTATTAGATCAAACTATCTTATGTGCTGTATGGGCCATGGGTTCGGCTAATTCCCATTTTTGGACACACAGACCTTTGCAGGCTATTTTGTGTTCGAAGCACAGCTTGTATACATGGAACTGCTATATTTTCTCATTCCGAAATTGTCATAATGGACTTTTCGCAAAATAGTTATGAAAACAGAAACCAACCTGCCGTATTTAAGGGATCTTTCGGAGTCTGAAAAGGAGTCATAGCACCGCCAGTCGCCTGCGTAGGCAGTAGAGTGTTAGGTGTGGCTGGCAGCCCTCCTCGTCGAAGAGTGGAATCACCTCTTACAGATTGGCTCGCCGGCGTTGTACCGGAAAAGTCGATGTCACCAACAAGCTGAGTATTTTCGCCACCCTTTAATGGAGTTTGGACCAATTGCAGAGCAAGGATATTCTGAGCCTCCTGAAAAATGAAGAAACAAGAACATAGATAACACGAGGAAATTGTTCCTCAAAAAAAATAGTTTAACTATATACCTGTAGTCAGACGTAGATATGAGGACCAAGATCGTATAGCCTTCTGTTTAGTTGCAGTTTTCTTTAGCCTTATAGTGTTGGTTTGATCTCATTTTCACAACCTGATTGGAGTGTCAGGAAGATTTTGTGGAAGGTACCTAGTTATGCGTCCTTTACTATAGTATTAGAGATTTCCAGTATCGAATATGTACCAAGTCAATGGTCCAATGATGAAAATCACAAATACTATGGAAGAGGATGCAAGACTAAGTACGTTCCGCAAGGTCTCCCTGATGTTTTTACCAAATTGTGAAAATGAGGTCAAGCCAACATTATGATTAAAGTTTAACGTAGCTAGTAAGTGGGCTAAATTAGGCTCGCTTTTTATTATTAAATAACATATGAAGTATGGTCTAATCAAATTATTTGTAGGCACATGGATAACCTATTTCTCTCATCCTTTTCATTGTAGCACCACATTTATCGTCTAAAATCTGATCAAATATTTATGTTTTAATCTCAAAAAGACATTATAAATAATCATATGATAGCAAAAACTAGTAGGATAAGTTTAGTTACCTAAATGTAAACGGCAATCTGATTATAATTGTTCAAACAGGCCTGAGTCAATGAATCAAAGCTTGTGGAAAGGCGTAATAAAACCAAATATATAAAATCAAAACAAAAACTCAGTTGATATTAGAATATCAAGTGTGATAATAAAATTAGGATACAAGCAACAATATTATTTCATTCGCCTAGTGAATTAAAGAACTTTCATATATGGTGCGCTTAGGTACAGAAAACATGGAGCAAAACATCCACGAGGGCTAGCTAAAGGCAAATATATTTTTCAAGCCCGACCCAACAAATTCGATATATTTATACAGTAAACACAAAATAGTTCCCTTGACTAAAGGAGTAAACATAACGTTCTCGTTAAAGCCCTTGTAACTAATGAACATTGAGTTGTAAGGCTGTGAACAAACAATTAGGCTTATTTAAAATAATACTAACCCCTAAAGTTTTAAATTAACATCCTATATGTATACATTAGTAAAAATATAAAACACAAATAAAAAGGAAGGCTGGGATCAGAAAATATGCAAGCTGATATTTGATATAAAAACAAATTAAAATTATATAAAATGTTAATTACACAGGTAAGGATGAATATTTGATGATAAAGTTGTGGACTGGTCGGCATGATAAAATGAGAATGAAAGTGATAGGTAAAAAGACAAGGCCATAATCTTGCCTGTATGATGGTATCAGTGGCTAGCTGCGGCGTTCTTGGTACTAGACTGAAAGGAGTGGCGAAACCGCCAGGTGTCTCTGATCCACGCAAACGGTAATCCGTGAGGAGACCTTGAGTAGCCAGACCAGTGGTTGTGGTCTCATCACCTGCAGAGGCAACAGAATTGGCTTCTTCAAGAGCCATCCTAACAGCTGTCTCACCAGCCTGACCGACCTGGAGATAAAATAATAAGCAATGAAGTATGCTATGCTGAAAAAAAGAGCCTTCCAGAGATGAAGAGGCAGAAGAATTTTATACAATGGAAGATTAGGCGTAAATTATCATGTGCTATAAATTATCAATAAAGTGTATTTTAAACAGGTTAGGGCCCTTTTCTAGAATTTTATGTAGTGTTTCAAAGTGCTTTCATATTGAAACTTGGATGCCATTTTGATACTCTGTCTCACAATCATTCAGGCAAACTATTTCCATACTTTACTCAGTGTAGATAATTACTGAATGAAGAGTTAAGTAAAATATCCGATATAGAAATCAAGACAAGAATATTCGGAATCAAACCCTTGCTAATAATAGTGAAAAACGTTATATTCTAAGTAGTAACGATAGAGAATAAAAAGGATGCAGAACAATGGTGCCGAACCTGATTTATAATAAAAGGCTACGTTGCTAGATTGAAGGTAAAAGAAAACACTTCTATGAAAAGTTCATAATAAAAATGTGTGGAATTTGAAGCATAAAATCAATATGGAGAACGAAGATTAAGTAAGAGTGATAAATCTTGAGGTGGCATAATCACTTCTTGAGAAAAAATGAAAAATATCAATTTAAATATAGTGACAAACCTTTATTAAACTTTCTAGCTCTC